CATCTTTTGGAAACAAACTTGGCAACATTGAAGCTATCTTCCTTTGGGCACATCATGAGAAGGCAAGAATCACTGCAGAAGATAATCATGAGAAGGAAAGTTGAAGGCAGAAGATGAGGAAGAACACATATGAGATAAAAGAAGTGTCAGCCTTGAGCTTGCAGGAGCTGAGCAAGGCTGTGAAGAACAGGACATGTCACAGGTCGTTCATTCAGGGTTGCCATAAGACAGAGATGACTTGGTGGCACATAATAACTGTCTTACCATCCTTGTTTTGTATGGAAGGACTGCAAGTCATCCCATGCAAGACTGGACAAAAGGCCAAAGGTCAACCAAACATTAGCAATGGGGCAAAGGCTTACAGGAAGAGAAGAGTGTTGGCTGTGGGAGACTCCCGCTGCATGGGATGGAAGCATTATGTATGTCAGGAACATGGACTCATTAGGTATGCTGCCTCCCTGGAGCGCAGAATGGTGATATAATTGAAAGATTGGTAAGGCTCATACAGCCTAATGCCATGTATTCCTTCCTTCTTAAACATGTGAGAACAAATGACACGGCCAAGCAGAGCTTTCGAGAAATCACATCAGACTTCAGACCTTTATGGAAGGAAGTCAGGAACTTTTAGGCCCAGATGGTTTCTCTTCCATCCTTCCAGTTCTTGGAAATGGAATAGACAGGGAAAGAAAAATACTCAAGGGCAAATGCTATTTTAGGCTGCTTTAATACAAGTATCACTTCCAAATCCCATGTAGTATTAGTTCCCTTTTACTCAGCATTGGTTAGGCCTCCTCTGGAGTACTGTGCCTAGTGTTGGGCACCACATTTTAAGAAAGATGCAGACAAACTGGAAAGGGTTCAGGGGACGGTATCAATGATGATTCATTGACTGGAAATAAAGCTCTATGAGGAGAAATGGAAAGAACTGACAGGTTTGGCCTGAAGAAGAAAAGACTGAGGGGAGGCATGATAGCACTCTTCAAGAACTTGAAAGGTTTTCACACAGAGAAAGCCCAGGATCTCTTCTTGATCATCCCAGAGTACAGGACGTGGAATAATCGGCTTAAGTTACAGGAAGCCAAATTCCAGCTAGATATCAGGAAAAAATATCCTGACTGTTGGAGCAATCTGACAATGGAACCAATTACCTAGCAAGGTTGTTAGTTTTCCCACACTGGAAGCATTCAAGATGCAACTATTCCATCTGAGAGGGTTAGACCTGAGAGGGTTGGACCCAATGGCCTCCTGGTCCCTTCCAAGTCTATCATTCTATGATTCCGCTGTTGTACGACGGAGAAAATGTCATTCTAAATGAAGCATACTCTTTTCAGATGGTGTCTGTAATCTTGTTTTTTGTATCAAAATACTTCAAATGACAAGGTGCAAGCTTTATAACTAAGGAATTCATTGTGTTCTTGCTGATGGCAGCTCATGGAGTAATAGGTAATACATGAAAAAATGTAAAACTGTAACACATTCAGCCTCTTGTCTGAGAGACAAGGGAAAAGGAGAGAATCCAGGCCAAGTTACACTGTATTTATAAGTGTGTTTGAAACAGGGTTGCCAACAGGATTTAACTGGGCATGGGGTGGGCTCTTGAGAACAAAGTGGCAGGACAGTGGCTATGAGCTGGACAAAGAGCTCCATATCCCCTATTTAAATCTGACCACGTCAATCCTGAAGAAAGAGCAGCTCTGGAACCCTACACCACAGCACGGTCCCATGCCCATGTATGTTTATTACTAATACATATATTGCTTAATATAATACATTATTATGTATTAGTGATACTAGTATACCACTTAACATTATACATTCCTTAAGTGATTCACATATAAACATTTTAAAATCACATTTAGTCCACTATTAAAATAATTGCAATTACAATAATGATGCAAATCATATTTATAACATGCTATTCACAACAGTTCCAATTACAGTAATACAAGGCAATGCAAAAAACAGCACATGTTTGATTGCAATTAATTAGAAGCCAGGGAAAGCATGGGTGACCAGCAGGCATTTAGGTATTTGAACCATACATTTTTCTACCTCCTCAACTGCATGGGGGAGAATTTTCTAGGGGGCTGATGCCACTACTGAGCCCCCCCCCCCCAGTTATTCCACGGTGACATTGTGTTGCTCATGAACTGATCAGCAAGACCTCCTCTGATGTTCCCAAAGGACTGCTGGGCATAAATAGAGGAAGGTGGTCAGCTAGGGCTTCAAGCTGCCTTGGGGGCAGCTCAATAGCCAGTGAACAGAACTAGCTGCCCCACTGAGAACCCTGTGCTGCATTCTGTGCTAGCTACAGGTGCCAAGGCAAATACAAGGCAACCTACACAAAGCACGTTACAGGGCTCTAATGGCGAGGTTTTGCTGGAGAAAACAGGCATTCTTTTGTGGTTGTTATGTGCCACCCAAACCTTTCTGACTTATGGGGGCCCTATGAATGAAAGATCTCCAGAATGTCCAATCCATGACAGCCCTGCTTAGCTCTTGCAAATTCTTCCTTTATGGAGTCAGCACATCCTGTATTTGGTCTTCCTTTTCTTCTTCCTTCAACTTTTCCTAGTATGATTGTCTTCTCCAGGGAGTTTTGCCTTCTCATGATGTGCCCAAAGTGTGACACTCTCACTTTTGCCGTTTTTGCTTCTAGGGCTCAATTTGACGTAAGACCATTTCTGTCAGTTTAGGGTATTCATAAAGCTCTCCGCCACATTTCAAATGAATCAGTTTTCTTCAATAATTCTAGGGAAAGTTAAATGCAGAAGAGGAAGACTAAATATGAGATGGATCGGTTCCATAGCCACAGCTTTGAGTTTACAAGAGCTGAGTGGGGTTGTCAAGGTCAGGGCGCTTATTCATAGGGTCATCCTACGGTGGAGATGTCTTGATGGCACAACAGCTGTAAGGTTGCCATAATTGAATAAACGTGTCTAGGATGTTCAGGAAGATGCATGGCTGGCAAACCAATCCAGATTGGAAATGGGTGCTCCAGGTCACTGAGGTCCCCCAGCCCTTCAGTGAGAAGGTGGATCCAGGAGCACCCGCAAAGGGAAGGCAAGCCCATCCAGACAAGGCAAACAGTCCAGTGCCTGGATCTAGGAGCTGCCCATTCGCAGGGTCTCTGTCTTCTCGGGATTCCTGAGTGAGCACATTGGAGAGGGGGCACTGAGCAGCCTGGGAAGGGTGATTTACTGTGAAAGTGGACTAGGGCTGGATCGGGAGCCGTCTCCTGCGTTGTCTTCGAATTAAACGTGTTTGAGTTCTCATGCCTGCTTGAACACACACGCACGTGACGTTCGGGGGTGAAAGCGCTCTGTGCATGCTCAAAGGCCCCGGCCAGGTCGACGAGGACTGAGCTGACCCCGTCCCCACCGTGGGGCCCTGGAAAGGGCTTTGAGAAAGAAGAAACAGTCGCGAGTCGCTGGGCCACAACTTCGCGTCAAGGCGAATCCGGAGGAAACCGCAGCGAGGGAGAAGGAACCGCGCGTCTCGTCGCTGCCGGCCCAACGAGCGGCGCTGGGCCGGGCTTGAGGGGGCGGGAGCCGGGGAGCCGCTCCCGTCTGCGCGACGCTTCCGAAGGGAGGCCGCCGCCGCCGCCGCGGCTCCCGCCCCCCGCCC